GGTGTACTATTCCTTTAAGGAAATGGTGTATGAACCTAGAGTTTCTAGGCAATAAACAGAGGTTCTACTATCTACAGTTAGCAATTATAATCATCCTAAGTGCTAATATAAGATGCTAAACCCTAATTGAAACATCAAATGATTCCCTTTCCCCTTGAAACGTTCATATAAACTGATCAAACTCATCTACTCTTCTCCCAATCTAATAACCGAATGACCACTTACACCAAGAAAGGCCCGTTTACTGTTAATTACAGTTTATAATGTACCAGTTCTATTGCATATTTTTAAGAGCGCCTAAAACGTCTCTTCACAACCATCTTGCTTTTCTAGTCGACATGGCTGTCAATAGATTGGTGAGGATTATGGTTTGGTTGTTAATCAGCGCAGCTTCATTAGCCTTAGGGATCAGTGGACAATGACCAGGTTTGAGGGCAGAGGATGTTGTAATAAATGCAAATGTTTACCAATCAGAAATGTAGAAAGTGAAACTTGAGTGTAATTATTTTCCAGTGTAGAATATGATGGACGTTGGTTTATTAAATAAACCAACTATCATGTTGCATAGAACACCAATGTTCAACATTCTTTGGTTCTCAATTCTTTTAATTTAAAAAAATGTGCCACTGCAACGGTCAATAAATAAGGCATCTGCAAACACCTGATCAGTAAGAGAGAAAAGAAAGATAAAGTGGATGATAATGAATGTAAGAAGGGATAAATATAGGGATGGATGGAGGAACTGACTTAAGGAAAAAAGGAATGAATGAATGGCTAAAGGGGGGAGTAACCAGAACATTTTATTACTGGCTATTATATGGATGATGGAAACAGACAAGGGGTGAATAGGTGGACTGATGGATGACATTTGTTAAAATCAGCAGCTCAATTTGTACGACTTTTTCAGGAACATCTCTCTTATTTTCCTAATATCGATCCAGATTTTGGAAACCAATTTACTTTTCCAGCCTATGAGCCCATTAAGAATTTCCCCATTGTGGGACAATAAAAGGGATTTTCTATTCCATCTTCTTCTAAATTCTCCTCTGATCAGTCACTCGATAAGCAGAGCTTCAATAAATCTCAACAGTTTCCTGAATATGTATGAAACCTGCCTGTGGCCTTGGAAAAACTCACCGATTCGTTAGATGGTTTTCCAATAGGAATAATGAAGTCCTGAGTCACAATTCACTCCCAATTACACAGGAAGCTGTGCCTTAAGCGCACATTTCTGAGCGTTTAAACACAATTTTAAGATACATTTAGCAGTTTCTTTGCTTTTAAATGAATCACTGCTGCTGCTGGGCCAACAAGCCATCCTTTCCATGAATCAAAGAGATAGGGAGGGTGTCTCATACCGGCAGGGAAGAGGAGGGCCTCTTTGCCCAGAAATCAACCAAAGGACACAACTAATATCTAATAAATCAACAAAAGCGTCCCTTAAACCGCCCCGCTTCTCACGTTCTCAGCAACACGGCCCAACATGTGTTCTACTGAAGGCCACAAACTCGCATCGCTTAGCGTAGTTTCGTTTCCTCGCTGGTCGCCATCACATCCCCTCACAGCCCGTCCGGATGCTAACCAGCTAGCGCTGTGCGGTAGGAGAGCATTTCAGAGTGGAAACCACAAAGTGCTGCGTGGAGCACAGACCCACCTGCCACGGCCGCTGAGTCCCTTGCCTTCTGCAGTGTTTTATGTCCGCAACTCAAAAATCCAGTCTCGGCCTGGTCGGACGTGAGCGAACGTCTGTCTCGCCGGCGGATTACAAAAGCTGGCTAGCCGTGTTTAGCTGCAGTCGCTAGCTGCCAACAAACCGCTGTCCACATGCAGGGAGGGCTGCTTGCTTTCTGCGTCCCCCGCCGCTTCTAGCCGCGGCTCTGTCCTCGGGTGCTGGGCCTTGGTTGTGGGGAGCCGGCGCGCAGGATTCCCGGTTGTCCCGTAGCTCGGTTATCTCGTGTCTGACCGTTTTTATGGTTGAGTGAGGCCCCGCTCGCGCCGCGGCCTGTCCCCCCAAAAATCAAAGATGGCGGACACTAGTTGCCAGATTTATCCTCTGTCGCCCCTCAGAGCTTCTTTCAGCCTCCATCGATGCTCCCACATTTTAACTATATTTTCTGTTAACTAAATCAAAACTCCAACGATAAGTATTTATCTAAATGAAATAAATTAAGCTTGTCGTCATTTTACTGTAAAAAAAAAAGCGCTATTTTTTTCCTATATGTTATTCAAAAGGTTTGTTTAAAAATCAAATAGAAACATGGAGTACTTAAAATATCGACAGACAAATGAAGAAATAGGTTAGTTAATATTAACAGCCATTTATAGTTTTACGAATTTATAGCAAAAAGCTTTATTTATTTCAGCAGAGTGGTATGGAGGAGGTTCTGCTTAAAATGTTGCAAGTATTTTCTGAATGTCAGGGCATGTGACAGCTCTTAGAAATAAAAAAGTATTTTTATTTATTTATTCATTTTTTTACGGAGGGGATAACACTAAACTTACATCTTGAGCTCCCATCACTATTAACTGCAGGGCTATCTTGTCTCTGAAATTTTAACTCAAGCACTGAGTGTCAGAATGGTGATTTATTTTATTTAGATATGGCTTCCTCTGCTGGGCCTGGTTACCAAAACCAGTGGTGTTCAACTCCAAGATTAGCCCTGGAATAAATTTGCCTCTACTGCCTGAAACAAGACAGTATTGTCTGCATATTTAGAAATATAATTTCAGAAATGAGAGGATAAATTTAAGGTTTGAGAAGAAAAATATATCTATTAGGCCTACAGTATACTCTCCTCTTTATAATCTACAGTTTTGATGTCTGTTGACAGGAATTTTTCAATGCATAACAGACGCAATTTAAAACTGATAGTTAATAAAATTGTTTTGGTAACTACAAACAATTGAACCAATTTCTTTTCTTTTCTGTGATACTTTTTCTTTAAGCATGTTTTTTTTTTTTTTGTTCAACATTCATCATTGTTTTTCATCAAACCTTTTACTTTTTTTTTATTTTGTTTTCCATTATAGTTTTTTTTAAAACGAAATATACATTTTAGCCTTTTTTCAATTTGACATAAGAACATTAGAATGGTCCAAAATTGAGCAGTCCACTTCATAACAAAACTCCCCTTTTCCACCTAATCAGCTCATAGAAGAGCTTCATTGGTTGTATTTTTATTTTTGCCTTCCTTTAATTTTCTTTTCATGACACTGCAATCACTAAATCACTAAAAAATAAAATCTGGAAAGATTTAATGGTTAGGTCACAATCTTCCGTTGTTTCCAGTAGTTGTTTGGTTTGTGAAAGAAACAATCTGTATGCAACAAATAAAGCAATAGGGGGAGGTAGGTTCTTCTCCATACCTTATATAAGCAATTATTTAGTCTATAGGAATAATATTGTGGCAGTTTTTCCACAGGTTATTACATCAACACATATAAAATAATTGAAAGTCCATGTGAAAGTCAGTGTGAAAAAGCGAAAAAACATGTCCTGTGGATGATTCTTTTCAATACTATGTAAACCTGGCAACCCAAACTCCTTGGAGTCACGCGTGGAAGGAATCTGTTTCCGGGGTGTACCGGTGACCCACGAGCGGCGCTATGTTTAAACGACATGATTCAGAGAATCATCAGTGTTGATCCATCGCTCTGTTTCCTAAATTCTTCCATAAAATGTCTCTGAATGTTGTTTGCAGGGATTCTAAGCGGGTCTGATTAAGCTAGAGTGAAACAAAAACCACATCTTCATTTTAAATATCATTTAATGAGACTTATTATCTGGAGGCAAAGCATAACTGTAAAATGGAAAGAAAAAGTTTATATGTAATTTTTATATATATATTTTAAATTCTTATATACTGGTATTTATATTATATGTATATATAAAGGTTAGATAATATGTGGATTTTTAAAATATATGTATTTCAAATTTCTTATATATATATATATATATTTTCAATTTTTTCTATATATATATAGCATGCTTATAGTGACGGTGGAGAGGCAAACAGGAAGAAACCTCCAGCAGAACCAGGCTCAGTGTGAGCGGCCATCTGCTGAGGCCCACTGGGGTTCAAGGAGACAGAAGCAGACATAGAAAAAGAAGCATAGATACAAAAGGCAACTGTCAACCAGCTCCACAGGCGGCCCCGTCCAGGAAACACACAGCCAGGCAGACGAGCTCCGAGCCAGCTCCCATGTCAGAGGATGAAGAGAGCACATCCAGTTAGTCACAGTCAGAGAAACAGGACTACACTGGAAAACAAGCAAATCTCCTAAATCTAGAAACAAAGGTGTTGATGGCAGCAGGACAGCTGATATTTCTCTCCAGGATGGAGTCACAGCCAAACAGGAACAGACCAGATGAAGCTACTATGAGAAAAAGCAGAGAGAGCAGAACGTTAGAGATTGAACTAATAGATTCTGCAGAGTGGGAGAATAGAGATAGAATTAAGCAGAATGATGAAAAAGGGGTCCCTATGTCCTCCAGCAGTCTAAGCCTATAGCAGCAGAACTATAGAGATAGCTCAGGATAACCTGAGCCACTCTAAATAGAAGCTTTATCAAAAAGGAAAGTTTTAAGCCTAGCCTTAAAAGTAGACAGGGTGTCTGCCTCACGGACTAAAACTGGTAGTTGGTTCCACAGGAGAGGAGCCTGATAACTAAAAGATCTGCCTCCCATTCTACTTTTAGAAATTCTAGGAACCACTAGTAAACCTGCAGATTGAGAGCGAAGTGCTCTGTTAGGAACATAAGGAACAATCAGATCTCTGATATCAGATGGAGCTTGGCCATTTAAGGCTTTATATGTGAGAAGGAGGATTTTAAATTCTCATCTGGATTTAACAGGAAGCCAATGAAGAGAAGCCAGGATAGGAGAGATATGATCTCTCTTTTTCATTTTCATCAGAACTCTGGCTGCAGCATTTTGGATCAGCTGAAGGCTTTTAACTACAGTTTGTGGACTTCCTGATAGTAAAGAATTACAATAGTCCAGCCTTGAAGTAACAAATGCATGGACTAGTTTCTCAGCATCACCCCTGGACAGGAGATTTCTCATTTTTGCAATATTCCTCAGATGAAAGAAGGAAATTCTAGAAACCTCTTTGATATGAGATTTAAATGACAGGTCCTGATCGAAAACAACACCAAGATTTTTAACTTTATTATCTGAGATCTGTTTAATCCCATCCAAATGAAGTGACTGGCTAATCAGCTTCTTTTTCAGAGACTCTGGTCCAAAGACTATAACTTCTGTTTTGTCTGCATTCAGAAGCAGAAAGTTAAGAGTCATCCAGGTTTTTATGTCTTCAGACATGCCTGTAATCTATGGAATGGGTTCCATAGATTACAAGCATCATCCACATCCTGAGAAAGAAGAGTCATTGTTGGGACTTCTTAACCAGGTTGGATGTGTTCTCAGTCAAAGAGAGGTCAGAGGAAGAATGAATGTCCAGGAATTCTACTGATGTTTACAAGCATCACCACCAACAGTGTCTCCCGTCTTCCTGCACCTCCCGTAAACCATGTATGTAAACAGCAAACCAAAGGTCCAGCTTGACCTAGTTTCTGTAAATCACGCGTCACAGTGGTAAGACATCTCATTCAGTTCGCTGAGGAAACCTCCTATCACATGCTCACAGTGTGATGCTGGAAACCACAACAATCCTGACCTTTTCACACTGAGATCAGAGTGAAACCTGCTTTCACCGTTAGATGGCGCCATAAACAAATGTAAGATCTAAGGCTGATGTCCACACTGACAATTGTCTAATATAGAAGGAAGTTAGATTTTTCTGCTCCTTTAATTATGAGTTTTACTCATATATCAAATTCAGAGCTTTAATATTAGTTATTCTTTCCTTTGGTCTTCTAGTTTTTTTTTGTTCCATAATCTAAATCTTATAAATCAAGTAACTACGGTATAAAAAGACAGCATTTCTATGCTGTTAAAGTCTATGTGCATGATCCTTTAATAGACCTGAAAGGATGTTTGTTAGCAGCAGATAATCCAGCTACAAGCACCAACGGCAGACGCCTGATCAAAGATCTCCTCAGTGCAGCTTATCAAAGAGCCTTTTCTGTCTGGTGTGCTCTTCCTCTCAGTCAACAACATGTTTTGGTGACTCAATCCTTACTTTGCAGAATATCTGAGACACTTTTCACAGTGAAAAATCATTATTTTTTCATATTCAGCTTCTTTAAGATTTTGCTGCACAAGAATTTTAGGGAAGTGTGTCCATAACTCTAAGTGAATGCAAAACATATTGAACCTTTAGCACAGAGGTGTTCATGGATAATGGCTCACGCCCACGCTTATCAGTGTTTGAAAAGTAGTTGTGATTTTGCTCCTTTTGATTCTACTTGTACCGCCGTCTTAGCATGACCATGTAAAGGTTTATGTCTTTGTGTTGCCATGAGAAACACCTGTGATACACACTGATCATAAAAAGCTGCAGCGTTGACCTACTTTGAGCTGTCCTTATCAAAATGGATGATAAGCAAACAGTTACCTTACCCTCTTATCCATTACACAGGGTGGCTGTTTGAGCTTACTGAACACAAAATAAAATGCAACCAGGGCTTTTAGTAGTTAGAGAATGTATAGTACTCTTGCAAAAAATTATCTTTTTTCATCTTGAAATATATTTGATTGTATGTCTGGCAGTTCTGTAAAAGCACATTAATTTTTAACTTTGATATGCCTGAGAAAAAGTGCAGAAAGGTGTTTAAAGTTTACTCTGTCAAAAGTTGACTCTGTCAAAAGTTGACTATGTCAAAAGTTGACTCTGTCAAAAGTTGACTTTTTCCATGGAAAGGTGGGTGAAGCAGAGCGGACAAAGTTCCTCGACACCAAATATAAACAGAGATTATTAAGGGTTTTCAGATGAGAGAGGAACCAGGTTCAGGGATTGAATCAGAATTGTACAAAGATCCATATTTTAGAGTAATTATAATTCGATATAAAGTAATTGGTTGTAAGCTGTTTGTAAAAAAATTAAATAAATAAATAAATAAATCACAAGTTAAAAAAGGATTTAACAGGATTTTATGCCAGACCAACACAAAGTGTTGTTTGAAAAAAAAGAACCAAAGGAGAAAATTATGTTTGCTTCTAAAGATTTTTTTTTACAAACATTTTGAAAAGTGTGGCATGCATTTTTAATTAGTCCAAATTCCTTCAAAGTAAAAGTACCTCACATCATTTGGGGTGTTTCTCTGCCAGTTCAAACATCAGGAAACTGAATTTGTTTCTACTTTTTCTTTGCAAAAAGGCTGAATCTCAATCAAATTAGAAGTCTTGTCACTGATTGTTAGTTGGATCTGAATGTGACTCTAAGTGGTTTATTCTAACCCCCCACCTTCTCCAGAAGCACCATAGAGAGCGTTCTGAGCATGTGTGGTGTGGAGGCTGCAGCGCCTCAGACTGGAAGAAGGTGAGAACAGCAGAGAGGATCATGGGGGCTCCTCTTCCCTCCATTAAAGACATTTCATCCCAGCGCTGCGTGTCCCGAGCCCGTGACATCATCAATTTATCAATTTAATCTCAGAATTCTGAC